GACATTAGGTGTTCTTAGGAATGCAAGCTGAAGTGTATGGAAGGGAAGTTTGTGCATCTGTTTTCAAATGCTTTCGGTGCTTTAACAAACAGAACATATACTTTTACATGTATTGACAAAAGGTAGATTTTGCTATTTTGAACACCTAGCTCCACCACCGCCCACCGCCTTTTGCCTTGTTTCTGGGAATTTGCATCAGATTCAAGTTGGAGAAGAACTTAGAGTCCTCTCCTAATGCTTGACTCCAATCCATTTGCTTTTTTTTAATTGAAAGGTAGTTTCTAAGCTTTAAACCTCACCGCATTCAGTGAATCCTTTACATACAAGATCTAGAATTTGCCTATAGCCTTAAAAATGAACAAACTCCTCAAGTGGTCACACCTATCTTCTGTTTGTTATTTGAGAGAGAAAGGGAGAGGGAGGGTGGGGGAAAGAGAGAGAACCAAGTGTTGACCGTTGATGAATCTGGGTACAGGGTTTTGGGATGAAGTTCATTTTACTACCTGTTCGACTTTTCCATGAGTTTAATTCCTTTTTTAATAAGATATTTGGATAAAAATAAATACAAATGAACACTCCCATAAATCACAGCTGGTTCTCCTTGACTGTTACCAGTAGTTAATAGATTTGCAATATGTTGGCTAAAACATGACCCACCTAAAGTCAGACTCTTGGAAATGGCCTGACAAACTGTACATTTTGGTTCTGCATTCTTGCTTAAAGTCTGCCCCTATTAATTTATAATCAGGGTATCGTCACCCTATAATTCTAGTGGAACTAAAATTTTTGACTTTCCAAGTTATAAAAAACCCAGTTGTGGTTTGGTAAGCTCTTATCATGTACATATTTATTGAGTGAATAAGACTAATTATCTTCTAGAAAATATCTTATGAATGACTTACTCATATGCATTAGTAAAAGGACACCTGTTGTACCTCACCTCTCATCCTCTAGTTGCATGTCCATGTACCAGTCATCAGATCTACAGCCACCACTTCTGCATGGGTATGACCTGGTAGCACCTCACCTTTGTCTCAATACCTTTCTCTCAGTTTCTTTCCTGGAGCTTCTTTGTCATCATTCCACTTCTTGGGACAAATATGAGGGAGTTTACAACCCCATAGGCAACTGTGAGCCCATGGAGCTTGGAGATAGGTAATCTGTTCTACACTCCTTAGTGGGAAGATCTGAGGCACAATTTGTAGGACTCCTCAGAGGGCTTTCAGGAGAACAGAGACCTACTTGCCCACACTGCTGAGCAGCTCAGTGCAGTACCTTTGAGTTTGCTTTCCATCCTCCCCTGCTTATCTCTTCCAGTCCTTCACTACTGCCTCACGGGAGCCACATGCAAGTCTTTGTAATAGGTTTTGACTTTTTTTTTTTTGCAGAACCTCAACCAGACAATGGCATCTCTCTAGCTATGGCTGAAGAATATGAGAATTGTTGTTATTACAATTGCCAATATATAAAGGATTATATGATGTTTAGAAAAAGCATTAGGCAAAGTGTCAGCAGAAACTTCCTTATTGTTATTTGGCCTCAGGCAGGTCATTTAGCCATCAGGTGACTGGTAAAGCTACAGTAATGAGGAGTTAAGGAGAAGACACAGTGGTGTCTGTGTAGGATTCTGTTAGCTGGTTATAAGACTATGGCCTCTGGTATCTGGTATAAAATGTTGAGTGTAGCAAGATAGTCCTTGAATCTAGAGGTACTGAGAGAGTTAGATGAGAACTTCAGAGAAGGGCTCTTAGTGAACTTGGGAGGACTTCAATTAATTGAACTGAGACATAAAATAAATAGACACTCTATAGTGTTAAGGAGGCCTATTGTAATCCATAATGAGGATTGAAATAAATGTAGGAGCAAAGTTTTTATCAAGAAGCTCAGGTAAGGCAACAAAGGAAGTCTTGGTGCAAAGTCCGACAGCATTAGGCTGGAACTTGTTAAATTGCATCAACCTAATATGAGAAACTACCAATGAGGAGGAGCACCAACTTAGAGGGATGGGAGAATAAAGTGACTTGATACCAATTGAAGTCTTGCGTGCACAGGCTAGTTGTGTACTACATAATTACTTGTTTCATTGTATAGCTCAGGGTAATTCTGTGATTTTGAGTCTTTGTGGTTAGATATCCCAGTGACTTAGGGCATGGGCAACTGCCCATGTACTTTCTGCTTGAGTACAGATGTGGTAGTCCTTATTAAATCCTGTCTCTTTACCGATGCCGCAGAGAACACTTAATGAATGATGCTCCCCTTAAGAAGAAGAATAATTAACAATAGCTGTATTATTCATATTAATTTATAGTTACTGGTTGCTATAATTAATGTTATTTATGAAAATTATCATAATTATAGCACTTTATAATTTACAAAGTATTTTCCCATCCATTTTTTTCTGAATCTTTTAATATCCCTCTGGCTTAGATATGGCAGGTGATATTCTCCTTGTTTTATATATGAGGAAACTATGGCCCAGGAAAGAATTTAACCAGATTGCCATCCACCTCTCTTACCAGTATATTGTGCTTTCTGTGAGTAAATGGAAATACTTATCAAACTCATATTTATCATAATGTTTTATATCTGCACGTGAAAGAACAGGTTCTCACATATCTCAGTTACCTTCCATAACAACAATGTCCTCTCTTTCCTTTTTGTGCCAGGACCCAATGTCAGAATATTCACAAGAATTCTAAATATGTCAAAGATTTTTTTTCTTAGTAATACCACAATATCTCATAGTTATTAACACTCAGTGGGATTAAGATGAGATTGCTTTTGATAGAGGGATTAGCATTTTCAAAACATCTGCTTCTAGGGCAAAGCCCCATGGTTCTTTTTTAAAGAAAATTTTTTATTGTTGTTTAATTACACTTGTCCCCATTTCCCACCCCCCCATTACTCTCCCCAGCTGTGCCCACTCCTCTTGCACATTCAAACTTCCCTCCCATTGTCCTTGCCCATGAGACCCACAGTCCCTTCAGGTTCTGAGAAAACACCATCAACATGTATATATATATGTATGTATGTATGTATGTATGTATGTATTTACTTTCATTTTTGGCTATGGCAACAGAGCTGAGGAAAATCTCTTATTTTTGATAAAGGCAATCTTCACATCTGGGCCACACAATATGAAATACACAAACATACCCACGTGTGCATGCAAATGCACACTGAGCCTTTTGGTGCCTCTTCTATAACATAACCTAATATATACTCTCTTAACTAGAGCATCCACTCACTCCTCTTATTGTATCTTTAGCTGTTTATACCCTAAATATATTGATATGAAAAGGGTTACTGTTTGGACCTATGTCCGTGTCTGTCATTATCCATTCATTTATGTATTTGAACATATTTATTGAACATTTCCATGGTTCAGCCCCTCAGCAAGACTCTGGGGAATCAGCGAGAGCAGAACTGACAAACTTCTTATCCTCATGAAGCTTACATTCTGCTAGGAGAGAATGGTGATAGACAAATATACATAAGTGGTAATATTAAATCATGATGGGTATTATAAGAAAAGACAGGTGAAGGGATATAGTGCCACAGAGAGGTCATGGAAATATGTTCTGAAGGAGAAAATGATGAGAAGCCTGCTTTAGATGATTTGATAAAAGATACCCATTGATCAAGAAAGCTCACAAAGAGGGATCCCAGCTGACCCTGGGCCAAGCAGCAGTCATCAGGTTTGGCTGCAAGGGTCAAAGTAACCCTGGGGCCCAGCCTTCATAGACTTCGGTGTTTTCAGTGTGCCTGGGTTTGATCAAATCCACATGGATTAACTCATGCTGGCTAAATTCACAAGAGGCTGATGTACCTAATCCCCTTAGGGCTGTCTGATACAGAGATCTAAATGAGTTCTAGGACACAAGGAAGGTGGTTTGGAGAGGAGAGGAACTGCCTGTCTTAATAGACAATTCTATTATGTTATCATTGCCTGAATCAGCCTATATATTAGGAAGATAAATATACTTAGAGGACTGTAAGGTTTAATGCTAGCTTGTCATGATGTCCTATTTTTTGTTTTAACTGAGGATATTCTGGTTTCTTGGCTAATGCTTTTTCTAACCTTTTCCAGATAGTATCGTGATATGTAACTTCCTGAGACAAATTCAATAGCCTTGATTAGTTTATACTCACTTCCCATTACTTTATTTCTGTTGGGTCTTGCTGCCGATGCATTTTGGTTTCTTGTTGGAGTCTTAAGAGACACTCCCACTAAAATCCGTGATTATTATTACTTTGTAAACGGAACACCTCACTTTATTATTTTCTTTCCTTATGCTGTAGGAAAACTGCTCGTTTTCCTGAACTTTCTTGCAATGCCCGAGCATGCCCTTGTGGTAATGTTGTCTTCTACTCATCTCTTATTGATTCTGAGTGCCTGTAGCAGTTGGTGCTTCTGATAACATGGAGCATTGAAATAGGAAATCCATTAAGCCCTAGCTTCCAGATCAGAGGCCACTACCACTTGTTTCCTCTGCCAGCCCCTTGGCCAGAATCCTGAGCAGTCACATTTAGTTCATTTGTAGACTCATTGGTCAGGACTTGCCATGTCCGTCACACAGACATGACTAATGTCCACTGATCCCCCACTGATTCCTCTCTCCAACCTCTGCCCTTCTGTTCCAACTAAAATGTCATTGTTCTAAGCCATGATTTCTGAACACAAAGAACTCTTAATACCTTTCCAGGTATACCCGCTCCTTGAGTACAGGATGGAGGCATTTACTTACTTTTGTTTTCATACTCACTAAAAAATAAGCATGTGGCCTTAGGAAAATCACCTTATACTTCTGAGTTTTTTTGTTGGTCAAAAAGGGTAATTCTACTTCAGAATACCTCACTGAAACTCTAAAAGAAGTGGAAAAAAAGACACAGAAAACCTTGGACAAGTCCACACTATAACCTGAGAAATTTGAAGTCAGACTGAATGCAATAGTTACTGCCAGTTTCCTTTTTGAACATGTCTGTGTTGCTTCTGGCAGGGAAATCCTGGAGGCAAGACCCTTGAGGAGAGACGCTCCAGCCTGGATGCAGAGATTGACTCACTGACTAGCATCTTGGCTGACCTTGAGAGCAGCTCCCCCTACAAGCCTCGGCCTCCCCAGGTAAGAGCTTCCCAGGAAGGTCTCCACATTGCCGGCTGCAAAGAGCTGACACTGAGCTGAAGGAACAAGCTGCTGTTTATAGCCCTTTCATTGTTTTTTATCTTCTCAGAGTTAATGGTCTAAATTGTCTTTTTACTTAACTTCTACATAGGTTAACAGAAATTTAAAAAAATTCATTTTATTAATTTCTTTTAAAATTACTATAACAACATTATAGAAAAGCATATGAAAATTAAAATTCTATTGCCTGGCTCCTTTTCTGGCTTTGAGTATGTGGATATTTTGTTGCATGTTGTTATAGTCTTCACAAAAAGACTTTAGCATGACTATGTTAAAGGTAAGGCAAGGCGAGGGCCATGTCTTTTGTAAAGAAATTCTTTATGTTGGATACGTGAGGTGGGCTTCCACTTTTTGGTTGTGGTTGTATGTAATGCTACGAACGATATGTTCATGGATATTTTCTTTGGAACTACTTTCCTGTCTCAGAATCTTAAGAGTGAGATTTCTACATCGAGGAATATGACTACTTTCTTTATTTTTCTTTCCAAAGGTTGTGAATAGCTTACATTGGCAGTTTGAATATACCAGGTTCTCCTCAGTCTCACCAGAATTTCATGATAACCATTAATCTATATTTTTTAAGTGCAGATGGTGCCACATTACCAGTTTGTGTATGCATTTTTTAAAACCTACTTTGGTGCTTGGCTATTTTTCTGCATTGGCATTTACTATCTGCATTCAGAAGCTGAGCCTCCGCTTCTAGTGGCCATGTCCTGTCTCTCTCTGATCTTCACGCAGTAATGGCAAGTGAATTTTCAGGACTCCGGGTCCTCAGAACGCATCCAGCAGAACTCTAGATGCAAACATTGGCCTGGCACTATTGTCACCATGTTGTTAGATTTGTGTGATGCTTGCTTGACAAAGTGACAGTGCATAAGGTGTGCTGAGTTTTGCTCAGTTCTCGAACAGCAGTTCCTATATCCACAATGGTTTCTTTCATGAATTAAAAACCAGCCCTGCTTCTCTGCTGTCAGTCATTTCAACACTGAACTGTGCATACGGTGGCAGTGCTTTCCCTTTTAGACATAATTCCCATTGCCTTTCCTAGACATATAATGAGACTCTCTGCTACATAGGGGCACAAGCAAATTGCGTGAGAGCTTAGCTCTTCCTTACCTGTCTTTGCCCTTGACCCAACCAGACCCATTGGTAGCGCAAATGCACTTAGTTTTGATAAACATGCTGAGCTGCAGATATGTAGCAGGCACTGTAGTCCTCTGGGGGAACTGATAGGAGAATAAAAGTGGATGGTTGAATGGGAAATATATAGTACCCGAATGTCATCTTCTAGGAGCCCATAATATTATAAATTCAACTATGGGAGCTATTGCAGAAACTTAAGGAAGAGAATATCGGATGCTTTTGAAGGTGACAAAATCTGAGAGGATTTATCAGAAGACTTGTGTATTCAGATTGTAGGATGGGGACAATGAGGGAGGCAATGATGGAGAATGGCTCGAGCCATAGAGGAGAAAGGTGCAGGCTGCCAGGGGGCCATGGATGAGGCCACTGAAGGTGTGGAGTGGCTATAGGAGTGCGGTTTCCTATGGAGAGCCATGGGGGGAGTTGAATGCCAGATTCAGATTTTGGCTTGTCTTTTATAGATAATGGGGAATAGTGGGAGATTCTCAAGCAGGGGAAAGCTTCATTCTAAAAAAGGAAAATAGTAAACAAGATGAACTCTGGAAAGATGCTGGAGAATGGGCCTGGGTCTGAGAAATTCTCCAGCGAGCTTTGCTTGCTTCACCGTTTCTGACCACTGTGTGATGTTAAGCATTGTTTCTGTTCCACCCCAGCACATGCCTCAAGCCCAGTTTCTCAGACAGCAAGGCCACGGAGTTTGCCACTGAATTCACCTGTGTCTGACTTCCTGACTTTTTTAAAAATGGGGAAAATAGGGTTTTGATTAATCTTTTTTCTCCTCAATTTTTATACCTTGATATTTACTGGGAAGCATTTTCTTAGAAGATTTGGCTTAGTATAACCTTCATTCCTTAACACTGTGTCTACTACATACACCTCCCATAAATCTCTGCATTTTAATGCATTTATTCAGTAGCTATATTTTTGTTTGCACAATCTTACTGTGCACACAAACTCATAATCACTGATGTTTGTACAGTGCTTTAGTGATTGTAAAGCACTTTCACACGTTTTCTCACTTGACTAAGACATAGCCATCTCAACTCTGAGCTACTAATGATGTGTTTATTTTGTAGATGAAGGAACTAAAACCTAGTAGATAAATGACTTGTTTTAGGACATATGACTGCAGTGTGAGCACAGTTGGACCCTGAATTTACACCTGTGTTTGATTTTAAGTTCCAGGACCATATTGAGGATGTCAGTGTTTTTTTTAGGGTATCAGTATTTTTTAAATGTTTTTTTCCATGACAAAAATCTATGAAAAAGTCAAGTGAATAACAGCGTCCCTTGAGGTTTTCATATAAGAAGAGAAACATTCAGAATATTTAAAACACTAATAATGATAACCCTTAAATAGAGGACATTGAGAATTAAGGTAAAAATCTATTTTTGATGAGCCTGTTTCATTCAGAAATTAAAGACTGAGCCTTTCTAACTTTTTTTCTTATTCTAATTTAGAAAAGCAGGAGTTAATTGGAAACTACTTATTCTTCTGAGTATCTTCACTCTGGTAGAACTGCATTAAATGTGTTAGTGTTTATTGGTTAACATAATTATATGCTGTGAGAATGATAATCACACAGCTAAAATATTAAAAATATGTGCCAGAAAAGATGATGTCTGCAGTAGATTGTGTTGTGTTGTAATTAAAAGGTACTTGAAAAGTCCTAGAAATGTAGACTGTTAATGTCTAACTTTGATGTTTTTATTTTTGATCCAAAGCAAATTACAAAACCCTTTGAATCACCTGACTACTTTAAGTAGGCTAGGAGGTCTATGGCTTCTCATTATTCAAGTGTGTGCTTTCCCAAAGCTACCTCTGAATCACCTTTGCAAGGCTGCTTTGACTAATGGATCTAGGGGAAAATAATAACATATGTGGAATGTTTGTACAGCTAGAGGTCTAAAGGAGGTTTATTCATGTAACAACTTTGAAAAATGTCTGAGTACTTGAAAATAGATTTTATAGGGCATTTTTCTTCTCTTTTCTAAAGGAGCATTTTTCTACTTTGAGATTTTTCAACTTTAGTTCTGTTCACTTACTTATTCACATTTTTCACTTGGGAAGTGTGGCTTAATTTCACATTTTCATTCCTTCACTTAACATTTATTGAGGTCCCATTATAGATCAGTCATTAGAAACATAACAGTATGTCCCGACTCTATAGCAGCGTGTCCGACCTGGCCCGCACCCCGCGGGATGGCCGTGAATGTGGCCCAACACAAATTCATAAATTTACTTAGAGTACTACGGAATGTTTTGTGTTTATGTGTCACAATGTATTTAACATGTGGCCCAAGACTACTCTTCTTCTTCCAGTGTGATGCAGAGACTCCAAAAGATTGGACATCCCGCTAGAGTAATTCTTACTCTTACAGAGGAGACAAACACAAACAATTCAAAAGGTCACAAAAGAAGGACTTCGTTGTGCTACTTTAGGCTGTCACGTGACTCACCAGATGTTGAAATTGAAGGGAAAAAATAGGAATGTCAACATCATACTTTCTACTTTTCCAGGGAAGTATCAGGGAGGACTGCACAGAGCAGAGAGCCTGTGGGTGTACTTGGCTATGTCATGGGAAAGGCAAGAAATATTGAAAGTGAACTTTTTAAAAAAGATTTTATTTACTTATTTTTAGAGAACTGGGAAGGGAGGGAGAAAGAGAGGCTAAGAAACATTGGTGTTTGAAAGAATCATAGATTGATTGCCTGTTGCATGCCCCCAAACAAGGACCTGGCCTGAAGCCTGGGCGTGTGCTCTGACCACGAATTGAACCTGCAACCTTTAGGTTTGCAAGTTGATGCCTAATCCACTGAGCCACACCAGTGGTGGCCAAAAGTGAATGTCTTGTTTAAAGGATGTGTTAGTTCAAATGCCATATAGAGCATATGGGATGCAAAGGGGATGGGCAGATGCATCACACACACGCAGTACTTCTGTAGCTCTCTGGGTGCCCAAGAACTATCATAGCAAGAGGAGGGATTTAGAGGTGATAGTGTTCTGCTTACAGTGGGTTTGGGGCTAACTAGAAAATTTTAAATAACATATAAAGAGCTCCACTTGTGTGACATGTGCACATCACCAGTGTGAGCTTTTGTTTATGTCTAAAATGGGCATGGTAACTACAATTATTCCCCTTTGCAGAAATACCGTATTGCTCTAATGTTACAAGAAATAAGATGTTGTCTTTAAGCAGTAGGTCACTCAATACTTCCCATTTGGTTTTGGGATAATTAGCTTGATTTGGGAGCTTGCTTTAAAGCTTCAGGACTTTGAAGTCTTGGGACTTATCTTTTCTGAATGCTGGTTACCCTATAAATGCTGTATTTGTCTTCCTCACTTGAAGCATTTAAAAAGTATTGTAATTTTTTTCATCTGTTTGGGAGCTGAGCACATAAGTTCTGTTTGGGCACATGCTCATTGTCTTTAACTGCAATCTCAAGCGCTCCCACACTGAGTTTCTTTCATAGGGCAGTAATCTCTGAGGCAACCTGAGAAATTGTTTCAGGTGTGTGTGCGTTGTATGGGAGGCTTTTCATTAGGAATGTGCGTGGCCTGGGGGCTCGCAGGCAGCATAATCAGGGTGGAGTCTGTGGTGCCGTGGATCTTCTATTCCCTTGTGCTGCCTGTTCTAGCTTGCAAAAGTCCTGAGCAGCTGCAGGGGAGATTAATTAGTAATTAAATTTTTAGTATTTCATATTATTTAGTGCAACCCAAACATGTAGGCTGATGGGAGGGGAAGCTGTGACACGCTGGTACTGCGAAGCAAGATGGAGGTGGATTATCCCTGCA